ACGTCTGGGGTTGTATGCGTGCATACATTCGTGGGGTTGTATGCGTGCATACGTTCGTGGGATTGTATGCGTGCATACGTTCGTGGGATTGTATGCGTGCATACGTTCGTGGGGTTGTATGCGTGCATACGTTCGTAGGGTTGTATTCGTGCATACGTTCGTGGGGTTGTATGCGTGCATACATTCGTGGGGTTGTATGCGTGCATACGTTCGTGGGATTGTATGCGTGCATACGTTCGTGGGATTGTATGCGTGCATACGTTCGTGGGGTTGTATGCGTGCGTACGTTCGTGGGGTTGCATACGTGCATATGTTCGTGGGGTTGTTAGCGTGCATACGTTCGTGGGGTTGTACGCGTGCATACGTTCGTGGGGTTGTATACGTGCATATGTTCGTGGGGTTGTATGCGTGCATACGTTCGTGGGGTTGTATGCGTACATACGTTCGCGGGGTTGTATGTGTACATACGTTCGTGGGGTTGTATGCGTACATATGTTCGTGGGGTTGTATGCGTGCATACGTTCGTGGGGTTGTATGCGTGTATACGTTCGTGGGATTGTATGCGTGCATACGTTCGTGGGATTGTATGCGTGCATACGTTCGTGGGGTTGTAGGCGTACATACGTTCTTGGGGTTGTATGCGTGCATATGTTCGTGGGTTTGTAGGCGTACATACGTTTGAAACACCCTATTTACTCCACACCCCGTTACAAATGCCCAGGACATGCGGGACATCTGAGAAAGTGCACTTGTAATACCTAAGTGTTCTGTAAACGGTTTAGTGGTAGATTCAGAAAAGTGTATTAACGCTTATGCCTTTGTATCATCCTACCTACTCCACACCCGGTTACACGTTGCCCAGGACATGCGGGACATCTAAGAAAGGGCACTTGTAATATCCAAGTGTTCTGTAAACGATTGAGTGGCAAGTAAGGGCGTGTGCTCAAACAACGTGCGTATGATAGTCGCGTCATGGCGTGCCAATACTTTCTGATATCATCTATTCTTATCTTCATTGCCCTCAACAGGCGAAGAAAGCGGGAGACCAGCAATTATGAATCAAACCTCAGGATATGTACCCAATGTTTATAACAAAAGACCTACTAACTTTTCATCGCTGAGGCTGAAGGGGCCACTACTTGTGAACACCTTCGGTTGTGAATTGAGGTCGACCCACATACAGCACAGACCATCATCAGGGCTCGTGTGTAGGGTGTGAGTTCGATATACGTATACGTATATGTATGCACAACCGTCAGTGACAACGGTGGGCCAGAGACAAGCCGACAACCGGGCTGCGAGTAGTGGCAGTATAAGGAGAAGTAGAAGCAGAAGCCAGATGAGAATGAAATCAAATTGAAGGGAATCGGATACTTGGCTTTATTTTATACTACATACCGGCATGCATTCTTTCAAGTATTATGCTCGAAGGCAATTCCCAGGGCGTGAAAGATGAATATTGATAAATGGGGTGAATCAATTATCGAACACCGATTGCGCACATTGCGAGGAAATACCCTCTATACTTTCGATCGTATGTGTTTTGAATATAATCTTTATACTTTGGATCGTATGTGATATGAGTATTATCTTTATACTTTGGATCGTATGTGTTTTGAATAAAATCTTTGTACGTTGGATCGTATGTGATATGAATATTATCTTTATACTTTGGATCGTATGTGATATGAGTATAATCTTTATACTTTGGATCGTATATGCTACGAGTATAGTCTTTATACTTTGGATCGTATGTGATTTGAATATAATCTTTATACTTTATATCGTATGTGATATGATATAATCTTTATACGTTGGATCGTATGTGATTTGAATATAATCTTTGTTCTTTGGATCGTATGTACGTAGGTGATCTGAATATAATCTTTATACTTTATATCGTATGTGATATGATATAATCTTTGTACGCTGGATCGTATGTAATTTGAATATAATCATTATACTTTGGATCGTATGTGTTTAGGATTCAATCCTATCTAGACGAGTGTCGATGGTATGTAATTTGAAGTCACTTACATCTAGGCGAGCCGTAACAGCTCATTTGGGGTGGCAAGCCCACACTATCCCATCCCGTCTACTGGAAAGTACAGCACATGTTCTGTCGCAATATCTTGACACCTTCACTATATTCCTGGGTAGTTATTTAATCCCAGTCAGCATATTCGAGGCATTGATTGATATATTGTGTCTGGTTGTGGGCAGAATAGTAACCTCACTTGTGATAACATAGCGAACTGTCCGCTTATATGAATGAAATCGTCTCACTCATTGGTAGCGCCAGTTTCTATCACGGTAGTAACCCGACTGGCTACTCTAATAATGGACGTCATTAATCACTATTGCGAGTACTTTGTACGCAACACTTAGATTGGATAGATGGTTTAATGTAGTAGTAGCAACTTAGGTCTCTCACTATTTCCTTCCTATCAAGTTGGGGTTAAACTTGTTTCGATTGTAAATAACACCGTTCTACAGCACGTAAACATACACCACCAGGTTGCTTAAATTACTGCGTTGTCGTTTCAATCGATGGGAGGGAAGGATATTGCTGTTCCGTGTTCATTGTGCATGGATGGGTTACATACACGAGACGATCGGGCATAAGAGCTTCCTTCAGTGATGTACTAGGTTCACTTTCTCTGTTACAATAATAAGTATTGTACTAGGTTCACTTTCTCTTGTTTACAATAATAAGTATTGTACTAGGTTCACTTTCTCTTGTTTACAATAATAAGTATTGTACTAGGTTCACTTTCTTTTGTTTACAATAATAAGTATGCTTGTAGAGTATGGAGAGTAGCTAAAAAGTAAGGGCTTTTTGGTAATCTGGTCCCGATGATGCTACATGCTTATATGATGTTCAACCGCTGAAGCGGAGACTTCCTACTAGTGGAACTTGCTTCTGTAAATCGACAGACTTCTTATTTGCAAATGGCACCCTAAAGGCAAAGCACTGGTACGTATCTGTATTTCTAAGTTTCAGTTTGAAACTGTTGGTGTTACCAGAATCGTGTACTGTGCCTCTGCTGTGGTTTGGCGCTGTTACACCTTTGCACTACCTTCTCAGTAAAACATCCAGTATATCTACCTATGTCCTGCGAGATTTTCAACTTTAATAGCAATAGTGCTCGAGCTTCGGATGCCAGACCCTCCTTACCTAAGAATCTGTAGGTTCATTGCCTGTTGCTGTCCAAGGCTTACGAGTTTTATGTGTATTGGGTTTCTCCCGAACATATCAGCGCAGTACGCACACGCACTACACCTCATCATGTTCTGTGGCGATTCCGAAAAAGGTAACAGATGTGTCCCATACCAAGGCCTTCAATTCGCTTTCGCTCATATCCCGAACTTCGGCCACACACTTAGCTACCGCTGCCATGTCAGCGGGTTCGGTGCACGAACGGTTGTCAGGGCTGTCAGTTTCCAGAAGCAAAGCGTTTAACGGCACCGCTCTCACAGCAGCTATCTATATGTGACACGTATTGAGGAATACGTATGCGCTATCAGAATATCAGTCGAATGAATTAGAACAACATATAGAGGTAGGCTCAGATATTCGTAAATGTAAGCAATTGCAAAGTCCGCCCGACCTCTGCGTTCTGACAGAGTAATCCGATGATATGTGTATGGCCATTCGTGTCTGTTTCTTTACCAAAGCGTACATACGATGTACAAACAAATAGTCTCTGAATTGTTCTTTGATGTTTCTGATAATTTCTAACAATAAAGTTTCGATTGCACTTGGACCGATACATCAGCAAAGACGGCGTACATACCTGTTTGGGTGAAGGGGTGTGTGTCAGTGATATATCAGCAAAGGCGGCATACATACCTGTTTGGGTGAAGGGGTGTGTGTCAGTGACAGACCAAAGGAAAACACAGCGCCTGCACGGACGAATTGGCCGATCATCTCCACAGGACCGTTGTAGCCATGCAGCAGACACCACGGTGCTACCGGAGACCCTATAAAAAGCCGTTAAATAAGTCACAATTTAGGTATACTCAGAGATTGCCTGTGCATAACATCTCGCATGGTAGAGCGGATCAACATCGTATGGCCGGAATGCTCCTGTGTAACACACGCAACACACTGACGACTACACAGACCTCTTAGGTCACACGCACTATGAATTCACTACAGTTGACTAGGAACCTAGTTTTAAATTCTGGTTTTTTAGCATAGTAGCTACATGACTCTCCAAGACGGCCCATCTAAGACTACACTTTATCTACCGTCATTGTACGTTTTGTTAATCAAGCCTACATAGAGATATCATCCCTACACTTCATCGACTCTCATTGTACATCATACTAATTAAGCCTACATAGAGATATCATCACTACACTTCATCTACTCTCATTGTACATCATATTAATTAAGCCTACATAGAGATATCATCACTATACTTCATCGACTCTCATTGTACATCTTATTAATTAAGCCAACATAGAGATGTCATCACTACACTTCATCTACCCTCATTGTACATCATACTAATTAAGCCTACATAGAGATATCATCACTACACTAATCTACCATCATTGTACATCATATTAACTAAGCCTACATAGAGATACCATCACTACACTGCACCTACCCTCGTTGTGCGTCTTGTTGGCCTTCCGAAGACCTTCTAAAACTCGTCCGTAGCGACGCACACAGTGCACGGACACGGGTCTCTTCATCCGCTGCATGACGAGAAGAAAGCATCAGCGTTTGCTGCCACTTCTGCATAGGCATGTGTAAGGTGACTAGTGATAACACCAGCCCGTTTGTTGTGTACTGCGGTCATTCTAATACCAGAGGACTGTCTTGGGTGGACAGAGACTTCCAGTACTCAAGTAGTACGAAAACGTTTATCAGTTGAAATCTCAGGGAGGCCACTGAGTACCATTGGATGCGTTGCTCGTCTCTTAGCAACGTCAAGAAAGTCCCCCGTTCACTTCCCACGTTCACACGTACATATACAGGTGCTCATTCTGAAGCACAAAAGTTCACTAACAATACGCTGCATACAGCGTCATACGTTTTGATACTACACACCTTGGCTAGGTGTAGCTGGGCTACGAATACCTCATTCTGGATATCATGGGCCACATGAGCACCCTTGCGAGATCCGTCTAGGCCTATTTCCCCCACACTCGCCTCGGGGTGCTGTACAAGCAGCGCTTCTAGACTATCTGGACCGAAAAAAAGGACTGGGGTGTATGTCCGAGAAGTAACGCGGAACAACTCGACTTATAGGTGCAATTGATACATGTTAGTGTAACGTGGACACGGAAAGAGGATGGCTTAATGATCGCGTTGAATTCTAACGAGAATAAACAGACAATATATACATAC